GGCTCAGTGGTTAAGAGCATTGCCTGCTCTTCCAAAGGTCCTGAGTTTAATTCCCGGCAACCACATGGTGGCTCACAACCATCTGGAATGAGGTCTGGTGCCCTCTTCTGGCCTGCAGACATACACATAGACAGAATATTGTATACATAATAAATAAATAAATATTTTAAAAAAAAAGAACACATAATCCAATTTAAAAAAAAAAAAAGGAATACAGACCTAAACAGAGAACTCTCAACAGAGGAATCTAAAATGGCTGAAAGACACTTAAGGAAATGCTCAACATGCTTAGTTATCAGAGAAATGCAAATCAAAACAACTCTGAGATTCCATCTTAAACCTGAAAGAATGGCCAAGATCAAAAACACCGATGACAACTTAGGCTGGAGAAGTTGTGGGGAAAAGGGAACACTTCTGCATTGCTGGTGGGAATGCAAGCTGGTACAGCCCCTTTGGATGTCAGTGTGGTGATTTCTCAGAAAATTAGGAAACAACCTTCCTCAAGACCAAATAACACCACTTTTGGGCATATATCTAAAGGATGCTCAATCATGCCACAAAGACAGGTGCTCAACTATGTTCAGAGCAGCATTGTTTGTCATAGCCAGAATCTGGAAACAACCTAAATGCCCCTCGATCAAAGAAGGGATAAGGAAAATGTGGTACATTTATACAATGGAGTACTACACAACAGAAAAAATAACGACATCTTGAATTTTGCAGGAAAATGGATGGAGCTAGAAAACATTATTTTGAGTGAGGTAACCCAGACACAGAAAGACAATTATCACATGTACTCACTCATAGGTGCTTTTTAAACATAAAGCAAAGAAAGCCAGCCTACAAACCACAATCCCAGAGAACTTAGACAACAATGAGGACACTAAGAGAGACTTACATAGATCTAATCTACATGGGAAGTAGAAAATAAAAAAAGACAAGATCTCCTGAGTAAATTGGGAGCATGGGGATCTTGGGGGAGGATTGGATGGGGGAGAGGAGAGGCAGGGAGGGGAGCAGAGAAAATGTAGAGCTCAGTAAATATCATAGAAAAAAAGAAATAAAAGAAAAGAAAAAAACCAAAAGAGAGAAAGAAACCAGCATGGCATTGGCCCCTATAATTCTGGCAATTGGGAGGCTAAGGTAGGAAGACTAGACATTAAGACTAACCTGGGATATATAGGGAGAGGCCATCTTGAAAGGGGGTTAGAAAGATGGTTTAGCCGGGCAGTGATGGTGGCACACGCCTTTAATCCTAGCACTCTGGCAGAGGCAGGCAGATCTCTGTGAGTTCAAAGCCAGCCTGGTCTACAGAGTGAGTTCCAGGACAGGCTCCAAAGCTACAGAGAAACCCTGTCTCGAAAAAACAAAACAAAAAAAACAAAAACAAACAAGAAAGAGAGAAAGAAATATGGTTTATTTGGCTCATAATTTCAGTTTTGGCTTCATAGTCATCCAGCCAGTTACTGTGTGGATATGGAGGCCCAGTACCTCATGGTGGCAGGGGGAGTTGCCACAAGGCTCTTGGTTTCATGAAGAATGGGAAGCAGTTATAAAGGAAAGATGGTGTCTCAATATTCCCTTCACGGTCACCCCCTGCAATGACCCTGCTTCCTCTAACTAGGCTGCTCCACTCCCAATACCCCACACAGCAGCCACCAAACCTCTAAGATCCAAAACAGAACGATCCTGTTTCATCCACCTGAGCTTCCGACCTCACCCGGAGTGAGATCAGCAGAGCATGCCACACTTGAACCCTCGTTCGCCTAACCCTAGAGCCCTGTTGTTGCTTCCTCGTCTGGCCTCTCAAATGAGGAAACTGGGGCGTTTTGACCGTTGCCAGCAAGCACAGAAGTTACCCAATCTATGGGTCCCGTACCCGGCACCCTGCCCCAGCCAGTTTGAAGGACCCAGAAACCCCGGCTTTGTGGTCTCTTTGCCTCAACCCATTCACTTGAGTTGCCTTTAGAGTCCTCAAAGTCTCAGCCTGGCCTCCCAAAACCTCAGTTAAGAGGTGCTGCCTTCCCTGAGTCTAGCAGAGGTGACCCAGACGTGATGGGGTCAGACTGCAAGTTTCTCTCTATGAGAGACAGGGACTAGAAAGCACTGGAAGTCTATCCAAAGGTGTCTCGAAAGCCCAGGAGAAGGAGAAGCTAACCAAATATGGAATAGACCCCACAGGGCCCAAAGGGAAGAAGAGGGTTCCTGGGGGGCCACACAGGGATGGGCAGATGGTCGCAGAGGCCCACTCCACCCTGAGGGATCCACTTCACGTCCTCACATCGCCGCTCGATTCCAGGAATGAATAGGAGCCGGTGATCCGGATCAGACGCAGTTGCGGGCTCACCGACTGTTTAAAACACCAAGCCCAGAGGTTTGCAAGCATCAAACCAAGACCCAGACACCCTGGCCACACCCGGCTCTCTTTCTGAGCGGTTGTAGTGTCCTCTGGCAGAAGGGGAGCACTATGGTGACACAGGCCCCAGGGAACCGTCCCCTGACCTGCCTCACCTGCCTGGCTCCTGGAGACATGCAAGTTTCCAGCGCTTCAGCTCAATTTAATCTTCAGTCTTCTTGTGCTCAGGCCTGCCTAGTCCCAGGGCTGGGGGTGGGGCTCTGAAGAGAGATCAAGCCTGTGGTGTTAGCAGGGCTGGAAGAAAGAGAAGGCGGGAGGCATCAGGCCAAAACTCAGAGGTCTCTCCCAGCCCTGTGTCTATGAACAGCTGTGACCCAGTTTGGCTAAGAATGTCCATTTATCTGCATGGACCCAGTTCTACCGACAAGGCCCGGCAGCAGAGCCAGAGGTGACACTCGTTCCCTTCCTTGTGAGTGAAGGTACTGACACTGCAATGGAAGAGACAAGAGATGAGGGGCAAAGGGGGAGGGAGGTGGAAAAATTAAATTTTGCGTGATCAGCAAGGTTTCAAACAATCGCTCGCCAACTGAAGTGGGTGCCACGTGTATAAGTCATTCTGTTTTATAGACCATTAGGGTCTCCAGAGAGAATCTGCATAGAGACCAGTGCTTTCTGTTGAAATTAAAATGTCAGAGAAAAAGAAATAGAACAAAACAGGGACTCTGCAATTAATTACCAGGCCATAAAAATTCAATAATCAGGAGGCAGAGCGTCCGCAGGCCCAGAGGTATCAGAGCCAACGCAACAAGAATGGAAGGCATTAATCTTTTCAAATTAGTTTTTTAATTTGACGGGGATATATGGTGACATGGCTCCCTCCTCGCCTGCATCCCTCCCCCCACCGCTCCTGCCTGAAGCCAGGGTGGGGAAGAAGGCTATGGTGTGCACTGGAAACCTGTGGGCCACGAGGATCCCCAGTGGGAGAGAGGCACCCTGTGCCGTAGGCGGGCTGGAGGCACCTGTGGGCCACGAGGATCCCCAGTGGGAGAGAGGCACCCTGTGCCGTACGCGGGCTGGAGGCACCTGTGGGCCACGAGGATCCCCAGTGTGAGAGAGGCACCCAGTGTGCGTCCCAGAGAAGTAATGAAGGTGGGAATTTAGGAGAGAAGGCAGCTGGACAATGAGGTGGCCACTTCAGGGCTTCCCTTTCCTCCTCTGGAAAATGGAAACAATGCGGTAACTGCTCAAGGGATGCCGGGTGTACAGCGTCTGGTACCCAGTAGGTGCTCAGTAAAGGCTTCCGTTGTCCCTGTTTTTACCACTGTCCACTGAGTGGGACTACCTCATCATTCCGAAAGCATACAGTGTCTGCTGTGTGCTCTATGCTAAGGAACTTCCCCTTCCACGGTCCTTACCTGGAGAACATGGCTCAAACTTAGAGATATTTTCAGGATCAAACGGGATGTTCAGAGAAATGAGGACAAAGAGTTTGTCCTAGGGGTGGGTTTCGGGAGCAGCTGGGAAAGCTCACCACGCGCCTAAAGAAAGCTCTGTACCAGGCAGACGCCGATAGGTCAAGAAGCCAATCTACCCTAATTGAAAATGGAGGCAATGCTCCCTGGCCCGGAACCCCTGCCCTTACCTCCTGCGGCCGGCCCAGGATTCCAGCCACTCAGCTCCACTGGGGCCCCTCGCCCATCCTGCACCAGTTTGCCTGCCTTCGGAGGGTCTCCGAGCCTGGCCAGTGTTGTTAAGAAACGGGCTTCCATGGCAAGCGCCTCAGGGACCCTGCGGATTGCAGCAAGTCTTTTAAAGATAGCGCTGATAGCCTATAAGGCTTGTGCCTGTGCTTTTGCTCACAACCCCATCCAGCGCTGTGTCAGGTGAGGACCAGTCATGATTTCAGGAGGTAGAAAAGGAGCTAGTAACACTAGGGCCTGTCCGGTTGTCTCCAAGCCCAAACCACAGGGGCCTTTCCTTCCATCAGAGCTCAGCATACAGTAGGTATGCAATAAATGCCTAGGGAGTACTGGTCTGGTAGAATAGCTCTGCAAGGGGAACTCAGACGCCTCCTGCCAAGATGGCCTCTGCGACCAGTGGCTACCACTGTTGAACACCTACTGTGTGTGAGAAATCTGACGCCTTTCATGGTAAGACTGTAACCCCTGCTTTACAAAAAGGAAACTGAGACTCAGAAAGACGGATAGGCACAAAATTCTACACCCAGCATCCCAGTCTTAGAACCCACTAACTCCCTCCCACCCCCAGGTCTCCAAATCAGGTCCTTGGTTCCCTTAACTTGGGTACCTCTCCAGGAAGGGTCCCTCAAGTCTCTCTAAACTTCTCCATTGGACACACGGTCGTTTTAACCACCCCGGGGACATATGCTCATATATTTCTTGGGAGCCTCAGCAACTATGGCAGCCAGGAGGGGGCGATTACACAGCAGACCCCGTTAAGAACCCCAGGCTCAGAGCTTGCTCTCTGGCCAGACGCAGTTCTGCATAAGGCCACCGGGTGGCGCGCAGTTCTCCCAGCCCGACCTTGCAATACGGCGAGGTGTCACCAGATGGTGCCCGAAGGCTGCGGCTCTTCCGGCAGGCCTGGACAAGGTGGAGCCCAGGCTCGATACAGTCCCATCCCCGCTACTCCAGCACACGTGATCACCTCACCGCCGCCTGCTACCGCACCATGGCCCAGTCACTGCCTCGGCTATCTGTTCCGGCGGTGCTGGCCCTGGGCTCGGCCGCCCTGGGCGCCGCCTTCGCCACTGGTCTGTTGCTGGGTGAGCTGCGGCAGTCCCGGGAATGGGAGGGCGCGGAGTAGAGCCCTAGAACCCTGTTAAAACCCCAGGCCCTGATCTGGCACCCTTTCCCGGGCAGGGAGACGGTGGCCTTCGTGGGGATCCAGACAACAGCGCCTGTTGCCCCCCGAGGACAGTCCCCTGTGGCAGTATCTGCTGAGCCGCTCCATGCGGGAGCACCCGGCGCTGCGGAGCCTGCGACTGGTCAGTAGGAATGGGGGACCAGAGCAGGCGCCTCATTTCCTAGCGTGGTGGATCTCACGTGGCTGTGTGACCTTGGGTTGGGCAGGGAACCCTGGGCTTCCGGGTTCCCTGAGACCTGTCCCCTCTTGGCCACACCTGCCACCGCGCCCCTGCAGGATTCAAAAATCTGTGCGGGGGCGGGTGATTGGCAAGAACGGTACCACCCTCTCCCCACACACAGCTGACCCTGAAGCAGCCGCAGGGGGATTCCATGATGACCTGCGAGCAGGCCCAGCTTCTGGCCAACCTGGCGCGGCTCATCAAGGCCAAGAAAGCTCTGGACCTGGGTAGGGACGCACAGCCAAGGTCGCTGGGAACCCGGCTCACAGGTCCCGCCCCGCATCCTGGACTGAGCCTGTAAGTGTACCGGTCCACAGGTACTTTCACGGGCTACTCCGCCCTGGCGCTAGCCCTGGCGCTTCCCGAGGCTGGCCGCGTGGTGACCTGCGAGGTGGACACGGAGCCCCCGGAGCTGGGGCGGCCCCTGTGGAAGCAGGTGAGAGTCCCACACTTGCGGCTGCGCGTGCTCGGGGATTCGGGGGCGTGCCGGTCTGATCGGCCTCCTTCCGCAGGCCGAAGCGGAGCACAAGATCGACCTTCGGCTGCAGCCCGCCCTGCAGACTTTAGGTAAGCACCGGCGCGGGGGGGGGGGGGGGGGGCGCATCTGCACTGTCCAACCTGGGGGACCAAGCTTGGAGACCCTGAACCTTGGGCAGGGGCTTCCTTCCACCGGAACCGCAGCTCAGCTGCACCTGCTCTGTCCCTCAAGATGAGCTCCTGGCGGCGGGAGAGGCCGGAACCTTCGATGTAGCGGTGGTGGATGCGGACAAGGAGAACTGCACCGCCTACTACGAACGCTGCTTGCAGCTGCTACGCCCTGGAGGAGTGCTCGCTGTGCTCAGAGTAAGGACTAGCTGAAGCTAGACGGCTCCCTCTCAGGGCTCTGTTCCCGCTGCTATCGGCTCCTCCCAACACCGTAGGCACCGCCCCCCGCCCCCCCACTCCCGATGGCCCGCCCCTCCCTCCACAGGTCCTGTGGCGCGGAGAGGTGCTGCATCCTAAACCCAAGGACAAGGCTGCTGAGTGCGTGCGGAACCTGAATGAGCGCATCCTGCGAGACACCAGGGTCTACATCAGCCTCCTGCCCCTGGGTGACGGGCTCTCCTTGGTCTTCAAGATCTAAAGAGAACCCCAGCCAGTGACCCTAGTTTTAAACCTGACAATAAAAGGACTAGGACACACCATTTTCTGAGCATCCCTATCTGCCGTTTATTAGGTGGTGGTCCCTACAGGAAGTCAGCTTTTCCAGCAAAGCAGTCTCCCTAGAACCAAGGCTTGTGGCCCTATCTGATAGAATAATCTTTTTTTTTTTTTTTTTTTTTTGGTTTTTCGAGACAGGGTTTCTCTACAGCTTGGTGCCTGTCCAGGAACTAGCTCTTCAACTCCCAGAGATCCGCCTACCTCTGCCTCCCGAGTGCTGGGATTAAAGGCGTGCGCCACCACCGCCCGGCCTGATAGAATAATCTTAATAAAAAGTGTGACAGCTGCATGTATTAAAGTCACAACAGGTTATGAGGGCTAGACATCAGAGATGTCTCCTGCCTCCCACCCACAGGCTCCTGGAGACACCACACCTGGGGCCTGACAAGATAGATCCCTGCAAGAGAGCAGCCTGGTTCTGGGTGCTTTTGTAGCAAAGACAGATCCGCTGACAGTCTACGCATGGTTTCACAGGGCTGTGGCCTCCCCAACCTCTCCATCAACTGAGAACCACCTCTCTTGGCCTAGACCTGAGGACCTAAGGTTGGCCCAAATTTCTGCCTCCCCCACTCAAGGTCCGAGGGAGGGAACTGATGTCTAAGGTGTAAAGCAGACAGGACAGCAGGCCTCATTCAAGGCACCTCAAGAACTTGAGGCTTGCCGGGTGGTGGTGGCGCACACCTTTAATCCCAGCATTCGGGAGGCAGAGGCAGGCGGGTCTCTGTGAGTTAGGGGCCAGCCTGGTCTACAAGAGCTAGTTCCAGGACAGGAACCAAAAAGCTACGGAGAAACCCTGTCTTGAAAATCCAAAAAAAAAAAAAAAAACAAAGAACTTGAGGCTTTTCCAACATTGTCCTTTGGGGGGTGGGCAGTGAAGGAGCCAACTTTGACTGACCTGGGCCTTTGCTCCTCACAACTGCCCAGCTTAAGGGTAAAGTTCTTTACACGCACACACTGCCTCAAGAACTCAGGCAAAAAGGGCACTTCCTGTGACACTGCAGGTTTGCCACCTACGGGTTAAGATCCTGGTGACGCACACCTAGAGGCTGCTCCGAGTGCAGCTGCAGGAGCCCACAGCTGAGTCTGTCCAAGCCCCACAGCCCCGCCATGGACGTGTTCTCCAGGGAACCAGCTGTGCCCACCCCTCCCTCCCGAGAGTACATATTCAAGTGCACACAGGAGACCTGGTCCAGTCTACTTTTCTACACTAGTGCCCACATGTGTACACACACTAGCCCACACCACCACCAGGTGAACCCCCAAATGCAGTATGAAATGCACTTGTTAGCTAAAGGCGCTAGGCCACCCAAGGGCTGCAGGCCAGTGACCTGCTGGCTTATGTTGGTGAGCACTGCTTTCATCTAAGTCTGGGTACCTTTCATAGTTCCTTCTTACCAAGCAATGGATCCAGATCAAATTTCAGCCTGTTACCTTCCAGAGATAGGTGCTTGGGACAGAACCTTTCGAGAATCAGTTTTTTTATTCACATGGCCACCCCCCCACCACCCCTGCCAATCCCTTAGGACATACAGTGGGGCTGGAAGGCACCCGTGTCCCTCAGGCCCTATTTGGTAAGGCAAAGTTCTATCTTCTAGTCCTTACCCTAGAAGTTCTCCATATGTACCATTTCTACGGGGAAGCCCCAAGTACTCCAAAGCTGCAAATGAACTCTAGGCTCTTAATCAAGCAGTGTGACACTGACTCCTCTCATCTGTGATTCTCCCTCTCAACCTCTGATGGACCTCCTCCCCAGGGACGCTTGTGCTTTCAAACCAGAATCATTGGGTCCTACAGATCACCCAGACAATGGCTAAAAGGGTTGTCCACTTTTCAGTGTTTATCTGGAAAGAGAGCTGACCTCCTGCCGGTGCCCTCTTCCTCCTCTCCCCGCCCTCCCGTCCCTGCACTCCTCCACTCAGGGTCCTCTTCCCCCAGTGTCTGTAGTTGGGGTTCAGGGGATGTCATGCTGTTTAACCACTCAGCACCACTGCTGCATCATGCATGAGTTAACAGTGATTCTCTGCAATTGTGCACAAACTTAGAAACTGAAGAATGCTAAAGCATAGATCCTCTCATTTTATTGGAGTCTCAAAGACCTCGTGGAATTCTGCTAAGAACACAGGAATTTGGTCGCACAGACTTAGGTAAAGAGCAAACTGCTCACCAGAAGAAAGTATTAACCAAGGTTAGACCCTGGCTGGCCAATCTGTAACTGCACATACGTGGAGTCATTAGTTATGTACACTTGTTTATTCATAATTTGTCATGTTTGGGGATTATCAAATTCTAATGATGGCTGAATATAACAAAAGAAAATCTTTTACCTCATCTTAAAACATCCACTGATCCATCTCATTCAGTACAATAGTCAATGTTAAAAGAACATAAAACAAACATGCACACCATGGCACGGTTTTCATAAACGTCTATTTCATCACTGGTGGGTAGCACATTTAACAGTTAAATACAGTTAAATAAGGTGTGGTGACTGCACGACGGCAGCACTGGAACCAGTTAACCATCCAACTAAAACCAGCCAACAGGAAACTGTCTAAATATTTAAAATACAGCTCTTGTTTAATCATCCTTTGATTTGATGACCTTCTGGGGGGAAGGGGAGGAGCCTGCTGGTCACATGGAAATATATTAAGGCCAAATCTTCTGATATCCGTTCCCAGAGGTTTCTTTCAACTGGATTAAGCCTCCAGTTCCAAGGCAAGCCCAAGTTTATGGCCTCCAGCATTAAAGCTCTTCCCATCTACCAGAGCAGACAGTGTAAGCTTCACACCTGCAAACAAAGCAAACCACCATGATGACCCTGACAACCACTCAACCCCTACTACTGCCTAAGCCCACAACTACCATACTAATCCCAATGGGCATTGGATGAACCGTGAATACTAGGTTAGTAATAAGTTCAAAATGTTCTAAGCCAAAATCATGGTCACTATACTACCCAGATTGTAACTGAATCCTCAAGAGACCTCTGGGGCAAGTGGGAAGCACACATTAGGTAGGTAGGTAGTGCTGATGTAAGAAGGGTGCCAGGTATGCCAGCAGGAACTGGTCAGGTGTAGGAAGTAGGGTCCCCACTACAAATGTTGGGCTGCTTTGCGACCTTACTGGTCAACTGCTCTAAGCGCTCCAGAGCTCTCCACCTCAGATCCATTGAGTGACAATCTGCCTGCGTATGACCCCGAAGCTGCTCTGAAATCCCCTGTGCCTCAAGGGGATGCAGAGACAGACCAGCCAAAGCACCAAGTAAACTCTGGTCCAAGACACCATTTAGACAGCAGTGAGAAAACTACACAATGCGTTAGATGGTTAGGAGTGGGGCTCTCTATAGAATGAGGAAGGCAGCTGTGCTTGTTCAGGCCGCCTCCTCACTACACAGAGCAAGGGGGAGGGAGTCATAAGCTGCAACTTTCCAGGAGGGGAGGATCATCCCACTACAGGCTTGAAACGTTTACAAAACAATAAACTAAAAAAAATTAATTTTAGGCAGGGGTGATGGCACACGCCTTTAATCCCAGCACATGGAAGGCAGAGGCAGGCATATCTGAGTTCGAGGCCAGCCTGGTCTACAGAGATGAGTTCCAGGACAACCAAAGATATACAGAGAAACCCTGTCTAGAAAAATGAAAGAAGGAAGGACGACGGACGGACGAGGGAGGGAAGGAGGGAGGAAGGGATTGATTAATTTTGATAGAAGAGGTCCTGGGTTCAATTCCCAGCACCCACATGGTGGCTCACAACTGTCTGTATCTGGATCCAATGCCCTTTTCTAGTGTGGACATTAAGGCAGGAAGAACACCCAAACACTTCAAACAAATGAATCTTATTTAAAAGGAGAGGGAGGTTGTAAAAACAATGCTACAAATATTAACAACACTTACCAGGCCTCAGAGTCTGAGTGTAACCCACTCCAATTAAGCTGGAGTTGTTGACCTTTGCCTGGAAAAAGAGAAAGACATTTCTGAAGGGAGCAAAGCTCTTGGGTATTCTCCATCATGAACTATAGAGCCCAGGGCTTTAACTCAATGGGATACTAAAATTTAGTATCATGAATTAAGCAAACACCAAGTGCAACTTAAACATTAACTCAAAGTCAAATTGTCATTAGGGTCCAACAACACATTTTATACCCCTTGGGATGTATACGGAGACCCCTATTATCCACACAATATAAAGACCACTCAAAAAGTCACCCTTGTTGAGTCTTCTCTATGCACAAAAGCTAAAATGTGGCTGATGACGCCTACCAGACCCACTAGAGGTGAAAGCCATCTTTGGAATGTACATGAGGAATTTATAAGCTTGTGGCTTTCCACACATCACCACTCCCAGGGTTCTTTCTCAGATCCCCACAGCTTAATTCCTTCTTCATGCTCTTAACTCTCAGCTGCTAGATTTGGGCTATAACTAGTTGGGGCTCCAATGGGGAAGTTTACCAATTCCTTATATGCCCTGACAATTTAGGATTTAGGTAACAGACTTCGAGGGTTGACAGGAATGCTGAAGAGCAAATATGTTAAGCAGCAGCTCCAAGCACAAGTCTCCACTACCCCAGCTAGATGCTCGCACAGGTCCAGTCCATCCACACTGCATCCTAATGTTGTTACCTACCAATGTGATGGTACTATACAGGACACGTGCAGCCTGGAGGCCACAGCACAAATACACCTGCAATTTACTGCCAACTCCAGAGCCTAGACAGACAACTGGGCTCTTCAGTATCCTGAGAGCTACAAAATAAAGCTAACATCTTGCTGTGAGCACAATGGATCTGGAATGATTCAGTGACTCTTCTTGTGATGTATAAACATCAAAACGCAATCAAAACGCTGCTCCACTGGGCCATCAACAGCTCTACTTGATGGGAAACGCTGCCATGATTCCACAATGACTGGCAGCAGTCACTCAATGACACCTAGGCCCCAAGCCACCTTTTCCCATGGACACTATTAGCTGAAAGGGGTCTCTA